TTTAGTCTAAACTTAGTGCGCGTTCTACTGACTGATTTGTTCACTATATATATATATATATATATATATATATATTTATTTATTTATTTATTTATTTATTATTATAATTATAGGGAAAATGCCACACCTGGTAAAACACCCCCTCAATGATGACAATTACTCCCCGGAAAATAACTCCCCGAAACAAGCACCTCATGCCATTCCGCCTGGCCAATCAATTACTCAAATGTAGTTATTTAATTTCATTAGGTAACAGAATATAATTTCTCGTCGCCAGATGGAGTGTTGTTCAGCAACAATATGGCTCCGAGCAAATGGGGAGAGCAATAATGGGCTCACAGTAGTAATATAGCCCGCGCTTCCCTCTTCTATTCCTCTGGCCTCGGCTGGCGGCGCTTGCATGGGGTGGCCACTGGTGCACCAGATTCGGTGTGTCGCAACCAATTACGTACTCAGCATCGACAGATTTCTAGCGTTACATCATTACACCTTCGTTACAATCGCACCGAGTCGCCGACAATCGCGCTGAAATAGATCGTTGTCGTCGTCGTCGTTCTTGTCGTTGTCGTCGTCTTTGCTGTCATCGTCGGTCGTTAATGTCGTCGTTGCTGTTGTCGTTGTCGCCATCGTTGTCGAAATCGACTTTGTCGTCGTTGTCGACGTCGTCGTCGCCTATATTATCGTGGTTATTATTGTCATTGCTGTTGTCGTTGTCGCTGTCGTTGCTTTTGTCATTGTCCGCGTTTCTGTTGTCGTTGTCGTTGCTGTCGTCGTCGTCGTCTCTATCATCGTCGTCGTCGCTGTTGTTGTTGTCCTCGTCGTTGTTGTTGTTGTCCTCGTCGTCGTCATATCTGTTGTCATTGTGGTTTTCGTCGCTGTTGCTGCCGCCGTCGTCACCGTTGCTGTCGTCGTTGTGATCGGCGTTGTTGTTGTCGTCATCGCTGTCCTTGTAATCGTTGTTGTTGTTGTCATCGCTGTCCTTGTCATTGTTGTTGTTGTCGTCATCGCTGTCCTTGTCATTGTTGTTGTTGTCGTCATCGTTGTCTTTGTCATCGTTGTTGTTGTCGTCATCGCTGTCTTTGTCATTGTTGTTGTAGTCGTCATCGATGTCCTTGTCATTGTTGTTGTTGTCGTCATCGCTGTTCTTGTCATCGTTGTTGTTGTCGTCATCGCTGTCCTTGTCATCGCTGTCCTTGTCATGGTTGTTGTTGTCGTCATCGCTGTCCTTGTCATCGTTGTTGTTGTCGTCATCGCTGTCCTTGTCATTGTTGTTGTTGTCGTCATCGCGGTCCTTGTCATCGTTGTTGTTGTCGTCATCGCTGTCCTTGTCATTGTTGTTGTTGTCGTCATCGCTGTCCCTGTCATTGTTGTTGTTGTCGTTATCGCTGTCCCTGTCATCGTTGTTGTTGTCGAGTCGCACACCGCGTGTCTGTACGACACGTCAACGACACACGTCAACGTGTTCTCCGTGTTAACGGCGTAGTTATATATATATATTCATATAGCCACGTCGTATCATTACGCTAGTTCCCTGCGCCGTGCGGTTAGGGTCGCGCCAGGTCGCCTCTTCCACCCACGCCACGCCGCCTCGTGTAGAGGTAATAGGTGAACGAGGATGGTGTTCTTTACGGCCTTGTGCATTTCACACAGGCGAGGATGACAGGTGGGTCGACTATGAGTACGACTCTGAAGACGATAGGTTGGCCGACGGTGCCTCGTTTGCTGGCGCTTCAAAGTCGACAGGCGGATCGGTACGGGGGCTGAAGACGCCGACGGCGGTCAGGGAACTGTTTCCGGAGACGTGGTTGTGGGTGAACATGTCGGCAGGGTGAGGGGGAGCGAACAGTCGGTGTGCGGCTACCCAGAGGAACAGTTTGCTCAATGTTTGCTCATCGGTTGGCTGTTCTGTCATGATCGTCAGCTCCCCAGCACAGATTCAAACTCACACTCACAATCACACTCTCACTCTCACTTACACTCACTACCACACTCTCACTTACACTCACTACCACACTCACTCACACTCACGCTTACGATGAGAATCACAATCACATTAACGCTCACACTCACACTCACACTCACACGGAAACACTCTCTCCCGAAGTTGATGCCGGAAGAATACGCTGCTTCTTGTTCTTTCTTGCCTACTCTCTTAATCTCAAGCGCTCCCCTTCTCTCTCTCTCTCTCTCTCTCTCTTTTGTTTACCTCCCTCCTTCTTCCCCCTTCCTCCCCTCCCTTCCCCTCCCCCTCTCTCTCTCTCTCTCTCTCTCTTATTTTCTCTCTCGTCTCGTTCTCTGTCTCTCTCTCCCTTTCTCTTACCATTTCTGTCTCTCACCTTCTCTCATCCCCTTTTCCTACATCTCTCACAAGCTCTATCTATTGCTCTCTCGCTCTATCTATTGTTCGCTCTTACCTGCACGCAAACACTCTTTCTCATTCCTTCACCTTCTGCAGGTTGCTGCCGGTGCCCGTTCGCTTTCCGCGCAAGCTAACTGCGCATGCGCTCTAACACGTTATGCTGCGCCTTATTTATTTGCTATAAACCTCGCGAGGTTAGTCTATACGAACGCAACCTCACCGGCGCTTGCACTTGCCGTTGGTCGACGTACGTGCGCCGCCTCCCGGGTGGCGTGGCGCGCGTGCGGCAATGGCGTAAGCATGCGTGAAGTGCTCACTCAGTCTTATTTACAGCGCACAAGATTCCCGATTACGCTTACTACGGTATTGTACTAAACGAAGCGCTACAGCAAGCGGCGCCATCACCAGGGCGCGCCACCGCAGTACCCCGCGTGACCTTGCGGCCTGTGGCGAAGGTCAGAGAGCTGTTCCCAGAAACCTGGCTGTGGGTTAACCTACGAGCAGGGTGAGAGAGAGAGGGAGGGGGATGAGACGCGCGAGATGGCACTACAGTTTGCTCCGTGTGAATAGCGGTTTCACATCACGACCGACCTATGTCTGAGAGAAATATAACCACGCTCCCCTTCCTAGCCTATACATACTGCTGCTAGCTCGGTCAAACTAACCCTGTTCATACGTGTTTTTCACACGTGCACGCCAAGTTGTCAAACTTTCTGCACTTCTTTGCTAAGCATTGTCTTTTAGAGCAGCTATCGCAGCGGTGATTGGCTAGAGCTGTCTATCGATCAGCCCATGTGGATAGGTCAGCATTGATAACTGTGTCTGCATTTTTATTATTATGTAGAAGTTACGCGTCTACCACGCCGTGCTTCCCGTGCTGGTGCTTACTAGACTAGTAGCGCTCATAGGGTCTATGTCCCCCAGGGTACTGCCGGAACGTACCCTTGGTACGGTCCGGTATACCGGAACGTACCCATGTAACTATCTGATATGGTTAGGGTTAGGGTTAGGGAGTAGGCGTAGGCGAATTTTTATCTTGCGTCCGGCATATTAGATAGTACTTGATAGTACCGGTAGCGTACTCAGGGTACGTTCCGGCAGTACTCTGTGGGACATAGACCCTCTCAGCACTAGTACCACATCCCTCTCTTCACCTACTTTTATTCCTTCATTCCACATCATAGTTTAACCGTACGCGAGAAAGGTAAGAAAAACGGGCCAATCAGCGAAGTGGACAGGCGTCATCAGTTGTCTGCTTCGCGCTGATTGGACACAGACGTTAGCCCTTGCCCGCCTGTTAGCAAAGTGAAGAGATCGTGTTGCAGTCTAGCTATAGCAGGGAAGCATTTAGACCACAATTGATTATCGCTACGCCTACTGCTATAATATATATATATATATATATATATTAAATATATGTATGTATGTATATATATATATATATATATATATATATATATATATATATATAA